GTGTATGTGAACTGCTGTATGGAAAGTGAATTTGCTCTGTAAATCTTCACCCAAATCACAATAAAAAAAAAAAAAAAATTAACACAATTTTCTCTAGCCAGTCATTAGAAGCATCTTAATTCTGAGTAGATATTATCCAAGATTCTTTATTGTAGAGTAATAACCTCTGAAGGAAAGAGGTGGGGCTCGGAGTGAGTCCCATTGGGACAGTCAGTCTGAGCTCCTCCCCTTTGCTCACTAGGTGGAGGAGGAGCTGCAGGAGCAAGACTTCTTGGACCGCTGCTTCCAAGAGATGCTGGATGAAGAAGACCAGGACTGGTTTATTCCATCACGAGATCTGCCTCAGGCCATGGGACAGTTGCAACAACAGTTAAATGGCCTTTCTGTCAGCGACAGTCATGATTCTGAAGATATTTTGGTAAGAGTCATATGTGATTCCTCATGCAATGTAGTGAAGACTTGGAGTCATATTTCTTAGCCCTACAATCTTGGGCAAGTCTCTGCAGTCCTCTGAGCCACTGTTTCTTCAGTCATCACATAGACATTAATAGGAAGGTGCTTTGAAGACACATAGTACCTCATAAAGCGCTGTGAAAACATTTTTTATTGCCAGCATCACCACCTTCCGTTTTTTCCTAATGGGCTTTTCAAAGTGGAGTTGGCATTAAGAATAAAAATTTGAACACTAAAGAGGTTTGGCTTCAAATTACCCTTTGCTGCTGTCCTTCCCTTTTGCTGTCTCCCAAATCTATATTTAATGTAGTTTTGAATGTTACAAAAGTTGCCTGCTCACTTTGGAAAGAACATACTCCTGAGAGCCCATTTTCCACTTAAAAGACCCAATAGATTAATTCCCTGTCTTCTGTGTTTATTTAATATGTTCTGTGAGTGTTTTATTTCTCACACAGTTCGTGTTCTGAGTGATTGTACCCTGCAGTTTTGCTAAAGTTTTGGATATTCATATGACAGTAGATAGGAAAGGAGGTGAGTATAAAAAGATGACAGAAAATAAGGATTGTGGTAACCAAACTGGTTTGATGGAATACTTTGATTTTTATCAAGCTGGAAGGTACTCAGTGAATTGAAAGATTCTTTTGGAGTCAAACTTGCAGACCTCTGGTGAGAATTTAGAAAGCATCATGAAGGGAACAGGAGTCTAAAGTAAAGAGAAAATGAGGTTGGTCAGGACTTGGTGTGTCAGGAGCCATTGGGAGCAGCCCAGCTTTTATGTTGAAGGAAGTCTAGCATAGAATGCAGTAACAGGCTCGTATACAGAGAATTTTATTTATTTCTCTCCTTGAGGCTGAAAAGAAGATACTGGTAGTAATGGAAGCAGAGAGAAAATGACCTTTAAAGTGCAGCTTCCCTTGAGATTCATTATCTCTTGATTCTTCTTTCAGAGCAAAAGTAACCTGAACCCAGATGCCAAGGAGTTTATTCCAGGAGTGAAGTACTGAGCTGACAGAAAGCTTTGAGGAGGACTTGTATATCCCCACATCTGGGGACAGTGCTGCACAAAAAGGCGGAGCTGAAGGGGGGGTGGGCTGGGGAAGGGTGCTCATTGGGGAAGGGGTATAGAGTTTTAACTCTTGTGACTTGAGTAACTAATGTACTCAGTCTTATTCTACACACCTCTGAGTATTTTTCTTTTGTTCTGCTGACTTCCATGGGGAGCAGTTTCCTTTTTTTTTTTTTAATTAGCTCTTTTGAGTTAAGAAAATTGCAATCTAACCCTCACCCCCCTTCATCAGGAATGTCTACCGTGTGTATTTAAACAAAATAAGCTGACCAAGAAAAACTGGGTGTTTAAGAAATGCCCTCCTCACCCTGCTGTGTACTTAGAAGGGCAATGAACACCTGAAGAACTACTTGTTACGTTTGCTGATCTGGATGGGAAAATGGACCAGCAGAAGCAGCAGGTGGTACAAGCCAGAGTACACAGCTCGGCTCCTCATCCCTGGAGGTGTCCTGCAATGAACGGGATTACCAGGAGCCTGTCAAGCCCACTTCTCTCTGCTCTGAACCCCATTCAAGAAAACACAGTCTTAAAGTACTGGTTTACGGTAACTCTTGATGGTTGATGCAAGTTGTAAATCAAAAGGGGAGGCCTGTGATGGTGGTGTCACTTGAATCATTCATTTACTGTTGTCCTACACTTAAGCCTCTGTTTACAGTTACCATTAGATTCAATTACAAGGCAAAAGAGCACTTGATTTGGATTGATTTGCCACCTTGTCTATCCCTGTCTCCTATCTACCCCAACCTTACTCTGATTTGTTAAGACAAGACTTCATTACTGTGTTGCCAGCAGCTTGAGCCTAGAGAAGTCATTCTTGAGTCTTATTAGTTGTGTCTTAAGCTTATTTTCCATGATTTATTTTTCTTTCCAGCCCCAGGAACACTTGGGCCCCCTGGATCTTCATTCCCTCAGAAAGGTTTTAAATACTTTTAGAAGTAAATACATTTTTCAGGAAGCTTAATTTTTCAAATTTTTGAGAATTTTTCAAATTTTCAAGAATTTTTAAATTTTCAAGAAGCTCAATTCACAGTTGGGTATTTCTCCCCACCCTGTAGAATTATGCAGAGGAACTCAGAAAAACCTAGGAGAGTGAGGCCTGCTTTACCATGGTGACTGCAATTGTCAGAATATATGCAACAATTCAAAAATTTTGCAGTTCCCATACACCCCACTTTGTGAGCTTGTTAGTCACACTTTTTGGGTACGGTATGTTCCTTTTGTCTTTCCTGTTTGTAACTAACTGGGGTTTTTATTGATGTTCAAAAGATACTACACTGGGCGCCAGGAACTGCCTTTGTGTGATACAGATGCAGGTGGCAGAGTCATGTCTGAGAAGAGCATGTCTAGCCCTGGCCATTCTCCCAGGACTAGGACTTGCAGAGGCCTGAAGATGGTAGTGGCTTCTTTATGACTGCTACTGTGTTGTATGGAGGCTAGAAGGGAAAGAGCACGTAACTTGAAATACAGTCTGTGTCAGTTCAGGATGTGGTTGTAGGGCAGAGGTTGGAAGGAAAGGCCTAGGGTCTGGAGAGCTTGAAAAATTCTCCTTTTTCTTATGGGTTCCCTTACTTCTTGAACAGCCATGGACTAATGTCAAACTTAAACTAGGAACCATGTCTTTTCCTCATTTTAATCTATAAGAAAATACCATTTGAAAAACGTACTTGTTAGGTCATATGTCATAAGGCACTAGCTTGGGGAGCTTATATTTCTAGATGAACACATTGATTCCTCAAACATCTACCTTAAGAGAATGGAACCATTAACACTTCTTTTGGGAAGACTATGAATAAAGAAGCTTCTTTATTCTGAATTCAGCTTTCAGGTGGTGGTTTCCTCTAATAGAGAGGACCTTGGAAATGCAGAAATAAGGGTCCTCTCTCTGGACTGCTTTTCTTCCCTCAGTCTCTATTAGCCTGTCCAAGCTCAGAATTCTGAAGGCCATTGGAAATATGATGACAGAAAGAGTGCATTCTCAAACTATGGTGGCTCCATCATAAAGACTACAATTGATTCTCATTCAGCTCCCCATCTAGAAGGGCCAGCAGGGATCCAGAGCTAAGCTGTTTCTTCACTTTTCAGGAGGTTTGCTCTCTGACACCAGGGTAAGCTCTGCGGCAAGGTGCAGTACAAGCAGCTTGTCTTTGTTCCTGCTGTGCTGTTCCATTTTGGATATTAGTCTTCAACATGGTTTCACAAGGCATATTTGGTTAGGACTAAAAAACACTTTCCTGTCAGATGAGCAGTGGAACCTGAGGAAAGGAGTTTGCAATCCTATTCAGACACAGAGATCATGAATGATTTTAGGGTCAGGAGGTGGCTTATAATACAAAACCCTTTTTTTCTAGTGTGTAGGGCTTGGGCTATAAATAAACAGTTCCTTCTTGTTGCTCAGCTCTTTTTTTCACCTGTTTTATGTTGTGAGGTAAGAGCACAATTACTACCCAGATCATAAGCTCAAATTATTAAGAGTTGCCAACTTCTTAGCAGAAAATGCATTTGGGTCTTGGACATTGACTAGGGAAAGAAAGGCTGGAAGCCTTGATCTGTCTGACTTTTCCTCACAGAAAAGTTTCCAAGTACAGGTCAGTTAAACACTTTTCTTTTAATGGTGAAGTGTGTATTTATTTATAAGTGATTACTTTGATGCTGAATTTAAGCCACTACTCTGTTCAAACTTTATTATTATTATTGGCAACTGGAAGTTTGAGAATTTGTACAGAAATGGAACTATGTCTTAACAGTTGCCAGGTCTGGCTGGTCCCAGTATTAGTTTATTAGTGATTGATTTCTGTTTATTATGATGATTTATTTTATTCTAAATCTTTAAGATGGAAATTATTTATCTCTTTCTCTTAAAGAGGAAAAAAAATAGTAGAAATGCCTTTTCGATTTCTTCAGGCCTTTCACTGTAGCAGAAAACTCAATGGAGACATTGTAGGCCTGAGCACATGCAGACCTGGATCTTTGGACCAGTTTCTCACCAGCAGTGGACTTTTAGGGAATCACATAAGGTCAAACCAGAAATAATCATAGGAAAAGGCTAGACCATTCATTTCCAAAATAAAAACAGTTGGGGTCTCATTAATTAAGATTCCAATGTTAACTGTGGCTTAAAATAAATTTTTTAGTGAAATAACAAGCAGCCTTTTCCAAATTGTGTATTGCTGTAATGTCAAAGTTTTGACTGATTTTTGAGAAGCTGGGAATTAAGGAGATTAGTTGAATGCTCTGGCAAAGAACACACATCAAACAGGAAAATTGTGTGAAGAGGAAGCCAAAGGAAACAGCCTGTGTGAATCTTCTTGCATTAGTACTACTGCAAACCCCACGTAGAGAAATGACTACCAAGGCTCCTGAAACATCTGGAGTCCAGGAATCTATTCTTCTGTGATTGGAAGGGGCAAGTGTTCTTTGATAAGGATCCCTACCACAGGCTAATAAAGTTTCTTGATTCGGGTGATGTTGAAGTATGGAAACAGGCAGAGAAATAACTAATGTGACCAAGATTTGGAGATGTCCATCTATTGGGAAGACTGTGTATGCCCAGCCACTCTTCTCTGGGATAATGCCAACATCATTAGTTTGAGAATGGGTAGAGAAAACAGGAGAATTGCACCTGATTTGACATGCAGCAGGGGCCTTGCGGTTTTCCTGCCTCTGCCCACTATTGCTCATGTAAGTCATTTCACCCCTCGTTACCCATGGGGATCATTAATTCTGGTGTTCTCTCTACCCTGTGTAGTATTCGGAGCACTTTCACAGCCTGGTGGTGAACGTCATTCACAGACTTGGTTAGTTGCAATTTTGGAAGGTTTTTGTTTCCCCCTTTTTGCTTTGAGTTTTGTGTCTTTATTTTGCACACCTTGATACTGCTCTTGGTGACAGGAAAGCAGGAGTCAGACTTTGCGAAACATTCAAATTCCTGCCAAGTCCCTTACTGCTGTTCCCAGTCACTCGGAGTTTTTAGGGGTTGAGTACATTGGTCTCTACATGGTGTTAGACAAGAGATCCACCCCCAGGGGACAGAAGACAAATCTGCAGAGGGACAGATGCACCATCTTTATTTCAAGAGAAAAAGCCCCCTTAGATTTTGTTATTACTAGGAGTCTCATTTGCAAGACTTACTGAACTTTCTTCCCTAATCCTACTTTCCTTTTATTTAAAAATAATAAAGAAAGATTCTAGGCTATTTAATACTAGAAAAAGAATAATACTGAGGTAATAGGGAAATTTTCACTCTGTAAACCAACACTAAGTGACGATCTTTTCCTGTTGATATTGAGCTTTTAGAAATATTGAATGGTGATTTGGAAAGCAAGGAGTCTTTAAAAAAATATATTGACTATTTTACATATAATATTCAGCCATTTCAATTACATAATGATTTTAGTGCCCTTCTCAAGGGTACAGTTTTGAAACATTTTCACTCACACACCTACCCCATCTCCC